GAGGTTGGTCGAGGTACCAAAAAACGAATATCAGAGACCATAAACATACCTGTTCGAGGATTGATCAAAAAATGAAAAAAAGGAGTTATTGGTGATTTTTGAGCGATTGAGTGGTTACACTAAGATAGTTATTTGGTCGAAGAATTGAAGAACAGAGTTGAGGAACGTGGGAGAACGGTTGGGAAGTTACATGTCATTAGCGTAGTGGATAGCGGTTGCGCACCCACGACGTACTTGCACAAGATTAACCGCTCTCGATTAAACTCTATAAATACGAGAAACATGCCCTTTCACAAGGGTCGAAAATTTCATACTCGCACTCTTGTAAGCACTTTTCTGCCTGTGCATATGGCTTCCGTGCATGGGATTGCTGCTGGGTATGACCACTTCTTGGCCACATTTTCTTGCTTTTCATAGGATTAGTGCAATTAGTTTCAATTCGTAGTTAGTTTAATCCTGATATTGTAATTGGATCTTTATGCGAAATGAACTATGATTTGTATTGTCAATATATTGATTGTTCATTCTGTTCATTTGAGTATTTACGTGCATGAACATTATTGTTTAATATTCATTAATGAAAGTTTGGAAACGAATGTTTATTAGTCACCTTCTCTTGTCTCTGCCACTATTCTTAAACCGTGAATACCTAAATTGAAACAATTGCCTGCTAGTTTGAGTAAAAAAAACTCGTAAACGAATTCCACCACAAACACATACACATAGTGGTTCTTATGAAATTAAGCTTAAACTTCTGTACTTTGAATTTAGAACTACTTTGAGCCACCAATAAGTTTTGAATGAGATAATAGGACCCTTTTTCAAGAATGTTTTCAAACATATAAATGAGGTTCTGCTTAATAGAACCGTGAATCTTTGAAGACTAAAACAACACAAAACATGAATTAATTGAATAACAGTAAAATGAGAAAATTACATAAGCTGATAGCAAAATTAGAATTTTTTCAATTTAAATTTAAATAAACCAACACAATGACTATGACTTACCTGTTCATCAAGAAAAATCATCTATATTGATTTTGTTGCGTTAAAGTTGTTTTTGTCAACATCTTTCCACACATATTATTAGATCACACAGATTTTGATTTTCCACTCTACTTTTCCGGGCACAATGTCTTTAATGAACGAAAACCGTTGTGCCATCCTGAATATTTGGTCAAAAAAAGATATACTTTAAAGAAGAAAGGTGTTACTCGTCAATTTTTGAGTTTGTAGCAATGTTAGAGTATATTTGGTATACCCTTCATAAACTTCTCACTGGTTAGTTGTTTTTCTAAATGTCTTAATTATTGGAGTTATTTTTATGGTATTTCTCTGAGGGAGATATTTTATGAGTATTATTTTTATAAGGTTATTTTAACACACAAGCATACTCTACAATGATGAGATATTGTTCGTTTTGGACCTTAACTCTCACGGTTTTTCTTTTGATCATCACTCAAAAGGCCTTTCAATCATTGAAGTATATTTGAGTTATATAAGTTGTTATTTCTTGTCTTATTTTATTGATGTGGGACTTGTTTGTATCTCAAAAATCCTCCTTTCAAATAAGGGACCTAAAGCGGAATCTATCTTTATATTCACATTATATGTTATGAGTTATGAGGGGTTATGAGGGTTGTTACCGCATCCAACCAAACGGCTCTGATACTATTGTTGGTTGGGGTTATTTTTATGGTATTTGTCAGAGAAATATTTTATGAGTATTATTTTTATAAGGTTATTTTAACACACAAACATACTCAACAATAATGAGATATTGTCCGCTTTGGGCCTTAGTCCTCACGGTTTTGCTTTTGGTCATCACCCAAAATGTCTTTCAATCATTGAAGTATGTTTGTGTTAAACTTTCATGCAGCGGAATCTATCGTTATATATCACATTATATGTTATGAATTATAAAGGGTTATAAGGGTTGTTACCGCATCCAACCAAACAGTTCTGATACCACTGTTAGGGTTATTTTTATGATATTTGTTAGATGGGATATTTTATGAGTATTATTTTTATAAGGTTATTTTAACATGCAAGCATATTCTACAATGATGAGATATTATCTGCTTTGGGCCTTAACCCTCACTGTTTTGCTTTTGGTCATCATCCAAAAAACCTTTTAATCATTGAAGTATATTTGTGTTATATAAATTGTTATTTCTTATCTTATTTTATTTATGAGACTTGTTTTTATCATAACACTAATATGAACTAATACATTTGAATTTAATCAATCAATAAGACTACGTGATAATGCTGAGAGTTTTTTATGCTTAACTTTCTAGTAACATACTGATATGGACTAATATGTTTTCAAAAGTAATTTGAGAGAATACGGACCTGAGTAGTGTTACCTTAATGAGTCTACAATACACGGTTTGAGAATAACCACTATTAACTTCTATAACAAACGTAAGCACTAGTAACTCAAAGTTGAGAATAAGCAGTATTTGAGAGAATACGAACTTGAGTACTGTTATATATCTGTTGCATTAAATGGCACAATTATCGATGTATGTGTATTCGTTTGAACGTATAATATAAATATTGATTGTGCAAGTTTAGACGGCTATCTGACGTCACTCAAGTGTTTCTTTTTGATCATATTTATGTTTGCATTAACGATAGGAGGTTTCATTATCCTTTAGTAGTCGTAACCAATTATACGAATTATCCTTTTCGATGTATGTTGCATTTCGAACTTTACCAACAAGGAACTCTAATTTTAATAACTCTTTCATATGGGAAAACTATGATGATACATAATTCAAATGTAGTTGTTATAATTACGCCGACATGTCTCCATCTTGCTTATACATAATTATAATTTTATTGCTTTCTTGCATTTCTGGCTCCATCTTAAAAATAGTGCAGTTGTTATTTTAATTATGCACACATAATTTGGCAAGTTATAGTTTTTGAAGAGAGAGACGTTCTAGAGAGTGAATATCTACATATTTTTTTAAGCCCTAAGCCCAAAGTCAGGAATATGAGAGAGTGACAATTATATAAGTTCTAGTTTCCAATAATATATGTGGATGTTTTCAATAGGCCTGAGCAGAACATTTCGAACCGACCAAAACCGAAATTTTCCGTGGTCAGTCTTTTAGTTCGGTCGGTTAGTTTTGAATTTTTTGATTTTGCGGGTTATTTAACTCGGTTTGAAATGGATTTTGTCGGTCGGGTTCGGGTTAAAATATTTGAATCCGTCGGTATCCATACCCGACCGACAGATAACAATTAAAAGTATGTTATTTCTTATGCGAGAAACTAAAACCCTAGCGCTGCGAAACCTTTTGCATATAGTTGAAAATGGAAGATAGCGTTTTGCGAGTTATTAGATTCTGTAATGGCAAATCTGATTTCCTAACCCACCCGCGTTAATATTCTATACTTTTATTTAAATTAGGTGCATGAGATAAAATGCAGGTAATGAATATTTGAGAGGAGCAGAAGAAACGAAAAGAATGGGAAGGGAAACTGAAAAAGGAAAACTGAAAAGATATGAATTCAAATAAGAACAGGAACACTAGAAAGGTAAGGTGGCCTAACGCTCATTTTCTGCTCTTGCATTTACTTCCTCTTTCTTATTTCCATTCTTTCTATGTCGTGTTGAAGTGAAAATGGAGCAGTATGAGATTCTAGAACAGATTGGAAGAGGCTCCTTCGCTTCTGCTTTGCTCGTCAGACACAGACAGGAAAACAAGACCCCATAATCCCCTAATCCGACTAATCCGATCTAATTAACCCGATACCCGACAAACCCGAACCCGACAAATCCGAAACATTGTTACGGTTGAAAATGGGTTAATTTTTTTTTGGGTCGGTTTGAATTGGGCTAAATATTTTCTACCTGAACCCGTCCGAACCCGCCCCGTGATCAGGCCTAGTTTTCAAGCCTGAAGTTACTCCATGTATCCTTAATGCAACTTAAATTATCATGATACCTTTTTTTAGCCTGAAAAGAATTGATTAAAATATTTTTTTAATCTTTATAATTTTATTTATTTTACTTTTTAATTTCTATATTTATAGTTTAAAATAATTTTTTAATTCAAATATTTATTTTTTTCAGTCTTTTTTAATTCCTACAATTTAAGATAATTTTTTTTATATACTTATAGTATTTTAACCTTTTAGCTCTTATTATTAAAATTTTTATAATATTATTTACTTTATATTAACATAATATAAATATTCATAGGATAAAAAAAATGCCTATACAAATACAATTACAAGTGAGGATACAAAATGCACAAAACATTAAATTACTTGATTTAAAATAATTCTAATAAAATAAATTTAATATTAAATACATATTAAATTAATATCTCTATCACATCAATACAAAATAAATAATATTACAAAAGAATTAATAACAGATATTAAAAAGATTAAAAAAATTTATAAATATAAAAATTAAAACGATTAAAACTGTTTTAAAAAAATAAATACAAAAACTAAAATATCTATTTTAAAGTATATAGAAAAAAAAACAATTTTAAACGAAAATTTTTCTTCTATCGTATCCGACTATAAGTAATGAAGGATTTAGCATATTTAATTATTTTTTTGAAGGAGCATATTTAATTATTTTTTTGAAGGAGCATATTTAATTATTAAAACGAGAAAATATTATTAAATATGAAGCGTGGGTCACATAAAGCAGAATATTTTTTTTCCTGTATATTAGCCATTAATATTGAAACACGTTTTTAAACAAATAATTAAGAGAGAAAATTTCCCTTCCCTTGTTTTATATTTGAGCCACATTAAAAATTGCATAATCTGGGTCACTTAACAATCACTGGCATAAGTAGACAAGAAAACACAATAGATTATTCTACTACAGAAGCTCCAAATCCAAATAAACTACCCAAAACTCGAAATTGGAATTTTTAATAAGAACATTTTCACAATGCCAATAACATAGTAAAAAGACCATTATAACATAGTCACAAAATTAGCATGCTCAGCAAAACACGGCACCCAAAACTCAATCACTTGCATAAGTAGACAAGAAAACACAATGGATTATTCTACTACAGAATCTCCAATTCCAAATAAACTACCCAAAGCACGAAATTGGAATTCTTAAGCAGAACAGTTTCACAATGCCGATAACTAAACAACACTGCCTACCAAGTAAAAAGACTATTATAACATTAACATAGTCACAAAATTAGCATGATCAGCAAAACATGGTAGACAAAACAGTGGCCAACAAAGTTGTTAAAGGACAGTCAACAATTATATGAGCTGAAAAGTACACTGTTAATCACAAAATGATAGCAAAAAAGGGTAAAGGCAAACGCAGTTTCAGTGAAGCGCTTCATGTATCAGCTTAACGATCTCCCCGGCGAGTTGGGAACGATCTGAAACAAGCTGAAGCTGAGCAAGACGCAGTTGGCTCCACCTTCCCTCCAACTCTTTCCTCTTGGACTCTCCAATCAATGCCAAACCTTTCTTCATCTCATCCTCACCCAGTTCCTTCATACCGGCTATTTCGCGGTAAAGCGAGTCTAGGTCATTACCGATAAGAGACTTCACCATCACCAATTGTTTCTCACCGGGCCTGGGCTTGGGCTTGGGCTTCACAGCCCAGACCATCTTGGACAAGTGAAACATTGTGGAGTCGTGAGGTTTGGAGAAGTGGGGGTCGTCGCCGTTCTTCCCTCGGCGAGAATTAGCCTCGAACTTCTTCTTCAAGCGGCGGATCTTCTCCTTGAGCTGGTTGATGGAGGCTGCCACGTGGAGCATGTTCTTGATGGAATCGTGGAAGGAGTCTGCGTGCTTGTAAGGGTCGTTGCCGGTGGTTGAGATGAACTGGGCCATGCCCTTCAGAATCAAGAGCTCGTCTTCCTCGCTCCAGATCCTCTGGAACAGCTTCGACTGCCCATCCGGGGCCTTTATCCTGTCCTCCTCCGTCTCTTCGTCGCTGCTTGCCTTCTTCTTCGTCACCCGCTTGGCCTTCACTTTGGGAGAAGAAGACTCTTGTGCCGCTGGTGCTTCGGTGGAACGTTGCGTGTGTTTTTCGGAAGAGGAACAAGCTGTGGCTGTGGCTGTGGCTGTGGCTGTGGATGGTTCTTCCGTATGGAAGAGACGCTTCTTGTTTTGTTTCGGTGCCATGGGTGGAGACTTAGGCTTTGTTTGGATTTGAAGATGGAAAAGGGAGAGTAGAAAAGGAAAGATTTGAAGGGAAAGTGAGTAGAAAGTGAGGTTGTTTGGATTAAGGAAAAGTGAGTAGAAAGTGTAAAGAAAGTTTGTGAATCAAATGATTGATGTGATAGATAAAAATAAATTTTTTAATTGATAATTGTGAAAGATTACTATTTTGCCCTGAGACTAAAAAAAGTTTATAATTATTATAATTAAAAGATAAATATATAGATTTTAACTAAAAAAATTATAAAAAATTAATTTAAAAATAAATTAATTTAAATATTTGGTTTAAATTTAATGATAGATAAAAATAAAAATTTAAGAGATGAATATGTAATTTACACTTTTACCCTTAGATTAAAAATGAGTATAATATTATTTATTATAATTAATAATAATTACAATAAAATTATATTAATAAGTATAATTTATTAAAAATATAATAAATAATGATAAAAATAATAATAAATATTATCATAATAAATAATAATGATATTAATTATAATAAATAATAATATTAATATTAATAAAAATGAAAATAATAATAATTATAATAATAAATAATAATAACAAAATATATTATGATAATTATATTTTGTAACATTATTTTATTAATGTTTATGAAAGTGTTATTATTATAATTTTATAAACATGTATTACTTTATTTTTTTTTTATTTCCACTTTTTAATGTTAATATTTAATATATAATACCTAAATTAAATATAATTATTTAATATTAATATTTAATTGATATATATATATATATTAAATATTTAATATTTAATATATATATATAAATTAAATATTAATATTAAATAATTATATTTAATTTAAGGTATTATATATTAAATATTAATATTATATATATATATAAACGTATTAAACATTAATAACAAATTAATGTGCCCAGAACGGCCCGTTCCAAAAGTGGAATGGCCCGTTCTGGGGTTATAAAATACTTCGCAAAGGCTAAAAGTGGAACGGCCCGTTCCAAAAGTGGAACGGCCCGTTCTTCTTTCGTATTTTTCTCATAACATGCATTTTTGGAACGGGCCGTTCCGGGGCCGTTTTGGATTCCTGCATAATCAATTATGCTTAGCCACATAATCGATTATGGCCTTGCATAATTGATTATGTCTCACCCATAATCGATTATGCAAGGCCATAATCGATTATGTGGCTAACCATAATCGATTATGCTCCTTCGTTTTCTTTAAATGGAAGACCTCCTTCCACAATCACTCACCACCAACACCCACCAGCCACCACCAGCCACCCAACGTCGAGAATCAACACCAGCCCGTGGAGAACGTGAACGTAAATCTTCTGCTGCATGGCACATGCATGGAAGGGGTATTTTTGGATTTTTACAAATCCTACGTGGCTTTCAGCTCCTTTCTTCCCTTTTGTGCGAGGAGAGCAACAGTGCTTCTCCTCGCTTTTCTTCGCCTTTCTTTCGTTCCAAATCACGGGAAACAAACACACACAATCCACACCTTTCTTTGCTCGTGAACAGTATTTCACCGGAAACAAACACTACCTTAGGGTTTTAGAGTTTTCTCAAGTGAGAACTGGGAAGAGAAAGAGGACGAGCTTGTTTCTTAATATAATCTGAGACACATTTTTTTAAGATTCGAGAGTATATGTAAACGTCACTCACACTTTCTTTTCAAATTTCATATCTTTGAAAATAACATAGTTGCACTTCCCTACGTGGCCTTATTTCCCCTCCCAAAATCAGAATTTTTTACTTAAATAATATTTTTTTAAAAATAATTACAAAAGTAACATGTGTACAATTTTATTTACTGAAATAGAACTAATTATTGTTCATGCTCAGAATTTGATTTCCTGGAAATCGAATTCTGAGCTTCAATATATTTTTTTTTGTTATCAGAATTCAGTTTTTGGAGAATCGAATTCTGAGTTATTTTAAATTTTTTTTCCGGGTTTGTGGCCCATTTTGGGCAAATATTGAAAGTGGAACGGCCCGTTCCGGAAGCAGAACAGACCGTTCTGCTTAAACACACAGAGTCTTTTATTTGAAATGAAAACGGGCTAAGAACGGGCCGTTCCAGAATTAAGTTTTAACGCATAAATTGATTTCTTAAACGGCCAGTTTCAAATAAGGAATTTAGTTATTTTTTTAAAGCTAGAACAGGCCGTTCTTGTTTTGGAACGGCCTGTTCCAGAAGACGTTTTTAGGCATAAAACGTTGGGTTGGAACGGGGCGTTCTGGTTTTGGAACGGCCCGTTCTGGACAAACAGTAAATCCGCTGCTTTTCCTATAAATAGGCCCTCTACCCTTCATTCTCTCCACACGATTTCAGCTTACCTTCACTCCTTTATTCTTTTTGTCTACCCCTTTTGAATCACTTTCTTAGAATCACGTTCATTTCCTTTAAACCTTTCATAAAATGGCTTCTTCAATCTACGTTATTGTTCATTCTGATGGTTCCATTAACCAATGTCCGAATGAAGGAATCACCTTCTCCTCTCCATCTGCAAAATTAGTTCGTATCAAGAGAAGAATTACTCTAGAAAGGCTACAAAGAGTCATCCACACAAAGCTACATTGACAAGATTCTGAGAGGGTGGCTAGCATACATTTTCGATACCCTATTAGACTTGGCCCAGGGGTTAGTAACTATACATGTGTTGAGTTGACGGATGATGAAGACGTTGAGGCACTTTTCAATGTTCACGATTATAATCAACTTCAATCAGGTATTGAATTATATGTTACATTTACTACAATTAAATCATATGCACCACAAGTTTCACCTTCACGTTCGCCTTACGAAATTTATCAAAGTTACCAAAACACTAACCCATCTGTCCCTTCTTATGATATCCCCTCCAACTACGACATTGAGTCATACACACAGCTTTTAACTGGTCCAATCATGGACCTTAATCAAATACCTTTTCAGCCATTTGACCAAGCTACACCTTCTGCTTCTCAACCCAATGTTCAAACCAACATTGAAGATCATCTTGTTGTTGGTCTCCCAACAGAAAATGTCTTTGATCCTTTTAGCGAGGACGAAGACGAAATTCTCTCTACACATCAAGATGATGATGAAGAAACCCTCCCAATTCCAAATAATCTACCACTAGAACCAGTAGCCATATACAACCCACCTCCACACTTTTTAGAGTTTCCCAATGAAATCCAACAAGACACTGAGTATAGCCATTTGTTGGAGCGTGATATGGTTGTGTATCCACCTGGAACACTATTTGTTGGCCAACGCTTCCAAACAAAAGAACAAATGCAGGACGCCATAAATAGATTTCACATTGTCAACCATTGCACTTACAAGGTTAAACACTCAA